AACCGATGAAAGAAAAACGTTGTCAACGTTTTCCATCCTCGATTAGTTGGCTTTCGATTAGTTGCCCCTCTGCACAGCTCCACACACGTGATGCCTCACCTCCTCCCCGTCTCACCCAGCTCTGAGTTCTCTCCCGCCGCTGCCCACCAAGATGATCACATTGTTGCAGGGAGACTGCAGCATGGGGGAACAGCAGCTACTGAAAGTCCCAAGATCTGCACTTTTCCCCCACATGCTGTATAAATGTATTGCTGGGATAGTGATTGGTTGTATTTCCAATAGCTGATGGTGTTTTGGGCTGAATATGTACCATCAGCTATAGAGGAATACAAAGCTCAGCAATACATTGTACATTTGTATGTATAATGTATTGCTGGGATTTGCTGTATTCCTCTAAAGCTGGTGGTATTCTGCATGCATTGCGCTGTATATAATGTATTATTGCTGGGATTTGTTGTATTCCTCTATAGCTGGTGGTATATTCTGCATTGCGCCGCTGTATAATGACTATACAGCGCAATGCAGAATTCCACCAGCTATAGAGGAATACAGCAAATCCCAGCAAAAATACATTATATACAGCGCAATGCTGAATACCGCCAGCTATAATGTATTATTGCTGGGATTTGTTGTATTCCTCTATAGCTGGTGGTATTCTGCATTGTACTGTATAATTTTACACTTTCCATTTCACTATATTGCACACCACACTTTTTTTTTTTTACTTCCACCGCTCCAAGCTTGCTCCTGTGATGGACTGCAATCTCAATACAAACTAGTAGTCCATCACTGGAGCGGGGGAGGGGTAATCCAGCCCCTCCCCTGTCACGGCAGAGAGCCATGACAGGATCGAGAGGTGAGTGAATGCCGGTATGTGTTCGCTCACCACTCGATCTCATTTTCCCAGGTCAGCTAGAACTATGAGGTGAGTGAAAAGCACTCACCTCATAGTTCTCCTTTAAAAATAAACGTCAGCTGCAGCCCTAATCCTATTAGCGATTCTGTTGCTGGCAAGTTGCTGTGAGCAACGGGATCACTACTCTAACAGGGCCCCGACACCTAAATAAGACAAATGTGCAGCTTCAAAATCTGCACAAGCAGTAGAATTCTGCCACTTGTCTTACACGGCCATCTACTGAACAGCAGACATTGATTAGGACAGAGCTGAACAAATCCCAGGAGCCAGGTTGTCAGTGCTCCTTAAAAATAACAGCTGGCACCTAACTTTTGAGGTTCTCTCTAATTGGTGTCAATGGAGCTGGCTCCTAAAAAAGTCCTCCTGGACTCCAAATTAATTTGTCCACCCCAGGATTATGCATCTCCCAACTATAGCTTTCTACCACTACTCTCTGAGCAGTTTCTCACAGCTTGTATTTATTTTATGTTAGCCATAAGATATTCTATAGATTGCCCATTAGTTGCAACGATTGCATCTCTATGGGGAAAAAATGTCCTGCACATGGCCAGCCTTAAAGTCTAACCACAACTTTCTTTGGATGGAGGAAGAAAACCCCCAGACATATTGGAAATATTAGAGAAACAGTTAAACTAAACCCATACAATTAGTCCTCCTGTACAGCCGTGATATATTTAGCTCTAAGCTGAACAGCTGCAAAATAAAAGAGACGAATGCAAAGCTTCACTACTGTTTTTAATGACCACACGTGGCATGGAACGGGTATGGTTCATTAGTAGGATTAGAAATCTCTTTCCTGGAATGAATGTTCTGCATACCTTCCAGAATTCACCTAAGGCCAGGGACACAGTCATCAGAAAAAGGGGACCCGGTAAGGGTTCCTAACAAGCATGGAGCATTGCTTGATCTGTCGAGACTGGCACTGCAGCTCTAAGGTGAGTGCAACTATTCCAACTCTGAGAGGGCTTCAAACCACTAGGGTTATGTTATGCATCAGCCTACAAACAGGGAGTGCATTGTCCGACTTTGAGACTCCTTTTAAATGGGATGAGCTGAAATAGGGATAGAGAGTTTTGGGGTGTCCTGTATCCCACCACAGTGGTATATGGAGTCCATAAAAACATAACCACTACTACCATTTCAAGAGCTCTCCTCGCAGGTCATGTGATTTATGACAAGTGGGGAACGCTGACCGTGTCTAGATGCTGGTGGGGTGCCTGCACACATCCCCCCCAACATTGCAGGCTCAGTTATCTGACATGAAGGTAAGCAATGGCCTGTAGAGAATATCTGATTATTAAAGTGAAAAGGAATCACCAGCACTCATACAATACAAAATTCCTGTTCATAGTTATTGAACATGCGTCACATGCATGGATCAAACCATGTGACACATGTTCAATAAAAATGAACAAGAACTTCACATTGTGAGAGTACTGGTGATTCACCCATATCGTGAAAACACACGGCCCCATCCGTGTCATCACTTCGAGCAACGCTATTTGGATAGAGAAAGGTCTACATCGTTGTATGGAGTGCAGGTAACACACTACAACACCTGATTATTAAAGCGGACCGTTACACTCAAAAATCAAATTCTACCAATGCATCTCTCTATGTATGATGATTAATAAGAACATAGACATGTCAGGTGTAAAATGCTGCGATTGTGAAATACACTTGCAGAGCATTCACTTACTGCTTTGAAAAGGCAAAATGACTTCAGTTTGCCAAAGCAATGCACCCTGGGATTGCCTTGTCAGCAGAGCATTGCTGCGAAATCTCATCTGTAAGCTCATGAGATCTCAGTGAAAGGCATATTCATCCCCTGAAATGGTGCATGGTCACATGCCTAATCACGTGCCAGAAATCAGGAAGTAAAAGGGGTGCTAGTAATCTGCCCTTAGTAAACATGGCTGCTGTCAGAAGACTGGGGAAGAAAAGAGAAATAAAGTATGCAAAGAATACAAAGCCTGCAATTATCTAAGTACAGTATGTGTTTGTAGATTGTCATTACTAAACATTTTTAATAGGTATGTTTGTTCTTATTTTAAAGATATGGGTAAAGGTCCGCTTTAAAGCAACTTCTTGCAATGAAATGCAGTTTAATAGAAACAAAAAGAAATACATTCACAGGTAGCTTCGCGGTCCCAGGTAGCTTAAAAAAGAAAAAAGAAAAAAAAAAAAAAGGTTTGCAGGTAGTTTCAAGCACCAGGAAAGTAGGCCCTATAAGCAATCCTCTGAAGAAATCACGTATTAAGGAGTCAATTTCTGCTTCAAAAGGAATATAAGGTAGTTCTGTAAACATTTGTTTCTTTAATACAGGAAGGACTTCACAAAACAATAATTAAAAGATTAAATCTGAAATGTTGTATATTTGTGTAGTCTTCATTCCAGCCAGCAGGTGGAGCGCTAATCTCTTCTTTCACATCATTGACACAATGACTTTTCACCTTTGTTGAAAGAAGTCTGACTAAAGCTGGCCATACATCTATAGATTATCTGCAGACTTTCTATGGTCAGATGGAAAAAGTGCAACAGATTCCTCCATCTATGCTAAACTGTGTGGATGGAGGAATCTCCCACTAGGCCAAGTTTCAGTATCTTGCTAGTCGGCCCTGTTGGCTCTCAAAATACCTGAACAATCTGATTGGATGCAGACATTGTTCAAGTATATTGAGAGCCAGTGGGGCCAACTAGCAAGATACTGAAGCTTGGCCCAGTGGGAGATTCCTCCAGCCACACAGTTTAGCATAGATGGAGGAATCTGTTGCACTTTCTCCATCTGACCATAGAAAATCTGCAGATAATCTATAGGTGTATAGCCAGCTTTAGCCAGTTACAACAGCGATTCAACTTATTTTGAGCACGGAGTTTAAAGCGATATTAAACCCTCTTTTTTTTTCCATATATTTTCTATAGGGATGCCCACCTTTGCCTGAGGCTGTTCTTTTTCTTTAAAATCTTTTAATTCCTCGTTTTCAAGTGGGTCCCCGCAGTTTTCGTCCACCGCCCCCTGTACGGGTGCCTCCATCGACTAATGGAGGCACCCGTGCCCAAAGTGGCTGGGCACGGGTGCCTGTCAATAGACACACAAAGCTCTGTGGCAGGCCACTCCCCTTCTCTCTTTGATTAATGGCAGAAGGAGCCTATGGCTCCTCTGCCATCAGTATCCTCCCCTGCAACCAGGAGATACGGGGACCGGAGGATCACTTCGGGACCGGAGGATCACTTCGGGACCGGAGGATCACTTCGGGACCGGAGGATCACTTCGGGACCGGCGGCGCAGACTAGAGTAGCTGACAAGTGTGGTGGGGACTGGGGGAGAAAAAGGTTCTGGGGTTTTTACCAGAATGCATTAAGGTAATAAAAGTCCAAGACTTTAACCCTACTTTAAAGCTCGACATACATGGATTGAATTTCGGCCATTTCCTACTGAATCAGGCAAAATTCATGGGTGACCCTGCTGACATCATCTGGCTCAACAACAGACAATCGAAAAATTGACTTGTTGAAGGAGCTGGGTGCAAAACTGTCAAATGAACAGAGACTGCAGCCAATCAGCTGTCAGAATACAACAGCCAGCAGGGGAGATTCAATGCTAAACAACATGGATGGTAGAACTGAATGATTTCTCTTATTTCAATCAGGCAATCTGATCTGCAAAGCAATCTGCTCTGCTGTGGTGACACTTTAGTTACCCACAGTACCATGAGAATCCTTACACAGTACCATGAGAATCCTTAAATGTGTAACAAAAGTTTATTTGTAAATGATTGTATATAGACAGTGAAAAAAATATTTGAAATAAAAAAGGTTAACTGTTGTAACCCTAAAGTAAATAAAACTGACTCAAATCCAAAAAAAGCTTCCCTTTCAAAAAGAAGAAATGAGATAAAAGTGCATTGTTGTATGCTTACAGATTCTTAATGACCAATTCTAATAAAGGAAACCACGTTGCCCACATCAAAGGAATGGTTGTGCTTCACCTTCTACTCTGACAATGAGGTACTGAAGTGTATCAAGGGGAACACCGATTTCGTATTTCATAAATGAACATTGTGTTCTGACATAATGTATTTACCTTGAGAGACGGCGACAGAGGGCAACTGGAGTGTGGAGAATCCAATGCTTCCATTAATTAACTGAGCGTTTGTTCCTGAATTGGGTATGTGCACAATGCCGTAGGGGTTTATCTGTATGGGAGTGGTGAATGTAACAACTGTTCCGCCATCTTGAGAGGTGATGGGCTGGATGGCCTCTGCCTTAATTTCAGAGGGAGGTATTAAGCCCGGGAAAGAGGACTGGAGGTTTGTAGTGTACGTTGAGGAGGAATCTGACAGGCCAGTCTGCAGAACTTTGACATCCTCAGAAGAAGACACCAAAAGGTCGGAGTTCGGGGCACCGTTGCTTATAATGGTGGAGGCCAGTTTCGGTGAATTGAGCGCCACAGTTTGCGAGTTGGCCATATTGATACCATTAAGGAGCACTCCGTTGGGTCCTTGGATAAATGAGCCCCCGTTTAAGAAGACAGATGAAGGGTTGGAGGACACCAAGCTTCCATTCAACAGCATCCCAGGGGAGCTCAGTGAGATTTTATTACCAATTTGTTGCATGTACACGGTGTCGGCTTGAGTGGAAAGGTTGATGTTGGAAATCCCATCTGAACTGTTGGAGAGTGGATTTGGGGACAGATCGTCGTGACCTTTGCTCGATTCATCTTCAGTGCTGTGGTTCCCATCTGACTCACTGAAAATACAACAGAGAAACAAAACAGACTTCATTAAACGGATCCAAAAGGAAATGTAACAACCTGCCCGTGCAAGACTATGCTCCCAGTCTTCTGTTATGTAAAAACAAACAAATGGTTCACTATAACCTTTTGTGTGTGGAGGCTAATGGACTCTTCAGCCTGTGTGAACTGGCAAGAAGCAAACATTACAAGGACAACAAGGGCCATTTGGCAAGTCTCGGGTAATCAAGTGGCAGTATTTGCAAATGGATACCATTTGTCAAGAGGCCCAACACATACCAAGGGGAGGAAAGAAATACAAGAAATATATACCGGGTACTTCTCAACACTTAACACAGAGTGTACTTTTCCTGCACATGTGATGTTATAAGGGCCAAAAAGTGAGGCGTTTGGTACGTGGCCCTAACAGTGCCTTAATACTATAACGTTTCTGCAAAGCTGAAGAACAAATAAAATGTTAACATAATGTTTAGTGTTATAATATTTCCACTTTTGCAGCAAAATTAGGATCATATCCATCTTATATTCGTTACATGTTCTCATTCACATAGCAGAACGGAAAAATGTAAGCAACAAATTTGTAAATTTTTTACTTCCTTAAAAATCTTTCCGAGCTCCCCCCTATGTAATGTTAAGGAGGGGGCTGTGCAAAGTTATGTTTACTCTAATGAACCCGGTCTGTCTTGTGCTGGCAGATTTCATTATAAGCTGTAAACAAGATTTTAACCCCGTCTGTCCTGACAAAGGGTTACATTAGAAGCATTGCATGTAGGGATGCACTGATACCGATTTTACGGAAACCGGGTTCCCAGCCAATCAGCATTAAGCCGGCCTCCCATCCAATCAGGAAGCCGGGCGGTGAGTAATGACCCGCCTCCTGATTGGCTGAAAAGCTGTCTCCGTGCAGATTGGCTGGAAAGCCGGCTTCCCAGCCAATCAGCATCGAGTTGACTGTTCGGACAATCAGGAAGCCAGGAGCTGGGTCATTAATCGCCGCTGGCTTCCTGATTGCCCGGGAAGCCGGTGATGTGTCGAAAGTGCAAACTTATCGAGTTGTGGGACCGCATTACTTCCGGTTTCCTCAGAACTACGAGGTTTTTACACAAAACATGTTGTGCACGAGCGCCATCCACGGCATTGCCCTATAGACATAGACCACAGCAATAAAGTAATAAAATGATGTAGGATGACAGTAAGCCAGCGCATTCTTTATCTCCGGTGCCCCACTCAATATGGCCGCCGCTTGAGTGGGGCACCTGAGATAAAGAACGCGCTGGCTTACTGTCATCCTACATAATTTTATTACTTTATTGCTGTGGTCTATGTCTATAGGGCAATGCCGTGGATGGCGCTCGTGTACAACATGTTTTGTGTAAAAACCTCGTAGTTCTGAGGAAACCGGAAGTAATGCGGTCCCCCAACTCGATAAGTTCGTAGTTTTGATCGATCACCGGCTCCATGTTCCCCCCAGTCAGAGGAAATCTTGCTCTGGCTGGAAGTTTGGGTATTGGGGAAGGTACTCCCCCAAATAATTGGTATCAGCACCAATACTAGTTGGTGCATCACTAATTGTATGTTAATGAGATGAAGCTCAGGTCTGTCCAGCTACTTTCACCTTCAAACTGCTCAAAGTAGACTGGACTCTGCACAAAAGCCTTTAATAAAAGAAATAAAAAACGAAAAACATTTTTACAAAACATTGTTATTATGCTGTGTGGATGGGAACACATAAACACATCACATATATAGAGGGGTTTTCTCAAATGTGTCAGCAAAAGTGGAAATACACTTTAAGACACTAGTGTAGCTATATAAAAACTGGGGCAAACAGTGAGCTATCTGCCGTAGCAACCAATCAGATTTACTGTTTCATCAAAATTCAAATACTAGGTAGATCCTCTACGATTATTGCATCAAGCCCAATTCTAGATAAAACTTCTTCTTTGGTTTTGGATACAGCAGGGAAGGGTTGAAGTCTCTGTCAGGTATACATTGATAGAGGGGTGTGTGCGTGGGGGGGAGTTTGCTACACCAATGGTTTACAGGCTAGAAGTATTTATTTTATCATTATAACTCTCGTAAATAACACCCTTCTTCAGCAGGGCTTAACAGGTATCTACAGCTCAAGTCTTGTAGCGAGTGGGGAAGAATTTCTGTCCATATCTTCATGTCCTGGTGACATATCATTCATAGGGACAGGAAGTGAGAACAGATCTCCCTACTGCAATCACTGCCCCACAAAACACGCCAGAAACGTTCTCTCTCTTCCAAACTAAAACAAATGGTCTGGAGTTAAATGAAAATTATATATTTTTTTCCAGGTTTAAATGTAAACTAGAGCAGCATAATATAAATAATCTTAGGAGTAGATCGTTGAATAACCTTGCAGACTTTAAAGTTATATGTAAAAAGTGGGGATGGCCATATTTATTCATTACGTAGGCGGGCTCGGCTTTCACCTCCTGCGGATTCTCTTACTTTGTAACAAGGCTGATGGGATTTGTTTGACAACAAAGGACTTGTGTAGTCTCTAATTAAACACTCACAATGCTACTGATAGTAACAGAAAATTAGACCCCTGCCTAGGCTTTGGGTCACATGAGCAAGCTTGATTTCATTTTTTTATATTTAATTCAAGAGACAAAATGAGATTTAATATTGTTGCCGAGTGACGGAGTGATTCCAGTGTGAATATAATGATGGGTTCATATTAAAAGACGCAGAAAGACAAAGCTTCATTATATTAAATAGCTACAAATGATATTCCTGAAACGACGTCAGTTGACATTTATGTAGATTTGTTGTACAGCATTGCTTTGTGTCAGCTGCCACGGTAAAGGCCCATTCAGACCTATGTGTTGCAGTAATGCACATTACCACAACGCAATTGCAATGCAGCACCTCACCGCACGATAACGCACTACCACCATGTTGTGGTGTGCCGCGTTGGATAACACAGTACAGGTCCGATTTTAGATCCGTTGTGGTGTGCTGACAGCCCGATTAAATAAATGGCCTGCCTTAAGGCAGAACTCTGGGGGAAATGATTAACCCTTGCAGTGGGGCTAGCCCCACACTTTAAGGGTTAAGTGCTTGTTTTGGTTTAGGGAGGAAAATTGCAAAGTTGTACTCACCCGATCCTTGGAGCCGATCTACTGTGAGAGCAATAATCCAATAATCAAGGGGTCCCATCGCACCACTGACCGGATTGTACCCTCCGATATCGGGGAAGGGGCCTGAAGAAGGGACCATGTGGTTTCCGAAATGTCGCTTTTTACAATGTGACACTACTGAGGTCAATAAACATCGACTAAGAATCAGGTTGGAGTGCGAGTGACTTTCTATTACTTGCTGACTGTGAGGTCACTTGCTCCAGCCTGTCTCCTCCTCCGTTGCAGCGATGTTATGTCCCTCGGCGTCCTCACGTCCTATATACTGTGTATTGGACGTAGTGATTTACAGGATCTTAGACCACTGCAGCGGAAGACGAGACAGGGACCAGTCCAAGAGCAAGCCAGCTCGGAGGATCAGGCAAATATAACTTTGTTATTTTGCACCCTAGACCAAAATGAGCACTTAACCCTTGCAGTGCCGGGGCAGCCACACTACAAGGGTTAAAAATACATTTCCCCGGAGTTCTTCTTTAATAGAATGCTAAATACAAATATGAAACCCAAATAAAGTGAGCGGTTCTACTTGCCAAATGCTTTGTCCATCCAGTACTGACATTTACACATCTCTGCAACACAGCTAGCCCCTGCCAGGGAGACCTGATCGTTCTCTGCTGCAGTTTTATTTTCACATACTGGTCTTCTCCCCGCCCACTTCCTGTGACTAGAAAGTGAAAGGAGCAGCAGAACACTGGGGCAAGCTTAGGGCTGTAACTACAGATCATGGGGCCCCATAGTAACACCATAATGTGACTAACGATGTCAAGATCCCAAAGACTCCTCTTGTGCATCTGAAGTCATCTCTACACTGTAGACTGCAACCACTCCAACCCTTAATGATCAAGGTTTAAATTTGCCTCAACAACCTAAAGGGGCCCCTTCCACACCCAGATCCCATAGCAGCCACCTGGTCAAGCTCCACTTCATAAAAACTGAGCTGCCTCAAAGTGTGCCTTCTAGATCTATTCCAACTTGAAACATACGCAGGTCTGATAATCTCTCTTTACATTTCATATTGCTAAACCTCTTTACATAAAAGGACAAAAGCGTCATTTATGTATAGAAGGACTTTAAATAAATATTAACCAAAACTCAAACCAGAAGAGTTTATGGGTTTGGTTAACAGATTGGATTTTTCTCGGTTATCAATGCATTGATCTCCTGTTCTCAGAAAAAAACCTTTCCTTCTTGTGCAATTATCAGGAGACTGCTGAAGTAAGAAGCACGGGGTCTGCCCTAACTGGACACTTCCTGACAGGCCTACAATTTACTAAAGGGGCCCGGAGCGTAGAGGCTGGAATGTCCCCAAGGTGTGAATGGGGGGGGAGGGGGGAGCTCCAGAGCAGTGGGGGAGGAGAGAAGTACACCAGGAAGCAGTAATTTAGACAGACCAAGAATGTTACCTGTCTGCGTTCGCCCATCCATCAAGCAGCCCTCCCCCCACCACTGCAAGCTCTGATCTCACAGAAGACTCATTGCTCTCCGCAAAAGAAAAAAAAAAAAAGCAGCAACATTCATTTTGCAAATCTGTAAATGTTTCAGCAGATTCTATTGAATGGTGCCGTTTCCAATATGTAGCGTTGTCAGAACGCAGAGAGCTGCATAACAGCACATTTAAAAGCTTATGAATATTTTACGAGCTGTAAAGGTTCAATCCATAACAATAAATTCGGTTGCACGCTATTTGCCTCCTTTGATTGTTGGTTGCTTGATATCTAAAGACCATAGGCAACTTAGGTTGTTGGTAGGGAAGAACTGATACCAATTTTTCCAGACCCAGTACTACGAGTACTGATACTTTTACTCAAGTACTCGCCGATACCAAT